AGTGTCAGCCTTGTCAAGATAGGTCTCCCCAGACCGACCCACTGGCTGTGAACATTCTAAACTAACACGAGTCTCATTAAGTGTCCAGTTTAAGGGTAATACACAAATATACCAAGGGAACATGAATCAAATATGCACTTTTATTCATTTACAATAAACTCATAAAGTACTTCATTCTGATTGAAGCTAAGGGCATACAAAACTGTCTAACATGGGAGCCTTTGCCTAGCTTGACAGGAGAAATTAACCCCCCTCATTCTTCTTTAGGTAAGAGAACTGATGGCGTTAAGCTCGCAATCGCAGAAGATTTTCTTTGTTTTCTGGAGGTCAGTATTAAGCTGTGTGGTGCAAATGCTCTAATGACTTCTGAAGAGAAGGGCTCTCACATTAAGTCCTCACCTCATGCATTAGGAAAGGAGTGCAGTGAACAGGAATTTAAGGTCAGTCTGCATATCGTGAGGAAGGGAGGTTGTTCCAGAAAAAGGGAAGGTGACAAGAGAAAGTTGCTTGGACTGATGAAATCAAAGCTGAAAAGAAGTGAAGGGGTAAGGAGGTTTTTGACTGAGGCTAGAAAAAGGAAGAAAGAGAAGTGGATCTGGGTGGATTGCAAAGTTTGATAAAAATAGTAGGAAAAGAATCTTTGATGGTTCAAGGAAGGTTCTCAACGAATCTTCTTTGTCTCAGCCTTTGGAGGTTCTAGTACCTGCTGGAACTGAGAGGCCGAAAGGGGAAGAGGAGACGGGCTTGGTTAGGAATCTTTATGCTGATGTTTAGTCTTTAGTCGGAAATCAAAGGTAAGGAAGAAGGAAAAAATGATTCAGGTGATGAGGAGACCACTGAAGAACAGGTTGAAAGCAATGTCTCTCGCTTTGTGGAGGTGAAGATCAGAAAGTTGGGTGTCGATTTGGGTAGGTGCAACCCTGCAGAGGAGGGGGAACAAACCAGTGAAATATTCAAAAAGAGACCACACAATTCGAGAAATCATAATATCGTTCATGTGACAAAGATATTCTCTGGACTTAAAACTGGGCCTGACAGGAGCAGGACCTACAAAACATTTCAAATGGGTGTACAGGAGAAAAAGATTGAGAGACAATGGGACGCTTGGTATTGATCATA